ATAAAAAATTACAAATATACGAAAAATTACAAATATACAAAAAAAAAACAAAAATATAAAAAAAAACAAATTCACAAAAAAATAAATAGATCTAGATCAAAAGTCAAAATTAACTGAGCCATGAATCTGAATCAATGATAGAAGTTTTTTTTAATTTTTACAAGAAAAAAGTTACAACAATGTTTACGGTTACAATCAAAGAAACAATAATTCAGAAAACTATAGATAAGTGGTATCGAAAATATTTATTTATTTTAATTTTTTTAATAAATGGTTGCCCCACCCTAGGATGAACATCTTGGTAGGTGCGTTTACAAACATATAACGTCAGAGACACAATTCAAAAAGATAAGGCTGTGTTGGCAATTTACACACGAACCAATACAAGCAAAATAATAAATTAACTATTTATATCCACGCATTATCCACCCTGATTTGTTTTTTAGGTATTTTCATTTAAACACAATGAATTTACGTTAATTATTTTGTAAAAGAAACAAAATGAAGCTTTATATTGTTAAAAAAAAAATTACGAAGGCCGTATAGGTCTGGCTTTTCTACCTTCTTTTGTAGCGCTTTCGCTACTTTTAGCTGCTTTTTCTTTAAGAAGATCCCGATATTCATTTAAACTAGAGGACTTCATCGTTTTATAAAAGACGCCATAATTTTCATTATATTTTTTCTTCTTTTTTGACACCTTATCTTTGGAGACTTTGCTTCTTTTAGGTTTTCCTGTACGTCGAGCATCCCCGTACCAACGAAAATTGCCAAGGAACGGACAGCGTGGCGTCAAGTTCGTGCCAAGGTTTTCCAGGATTCTCGTCAAAGGCAAGGAGTGAAGCCTGGTTTTAGAGAAATCATTGCAAGGCGGATAGTGCATCGAAGGTTCTGGTTTAAACCGAATGGGAATGAAGGATTTTTCAACAAAATTTGTGGTTTTACTTATAATTTTTCCAGTATTCGGCTTACAGAACCTAGTTATCTTGGACATCACTATGTTTTCGCTATTTGCTGGATTGCTTGATCGGAATTTTGTAATGTTACTTGCCTTGTTCAATATACAACTATAGTTAAAGTACCTCATGCGGAGCAGGAGTGGAGAAATTGTCTGTTTACATATCAAAGTAGAAACAGCCATTTTAACTTCCATAATTTATATTTTGTGGTCTTGAATTACAGATAAAATTTCGATGTATAATTTCTTGACAAATGAATTGGAAAGGAATTGTGACAGAAAATGACAGAATTTGGCTATCAATTGACTATACAGTTTTTAGATACTATTGGCTACTAAGTATTGACCTTCAACCTCCTTGGGCCCTAAAAAGTATACGTCAAGAAATAAGTATTGACGCAAATTGACGAACTGATTTTTTTTCCTAAACTTACTTTCCATTTTTTCTGCAGCATCAATTTGTAATGATTTTGCTTGACATGTCACGCTTTATACTGACTACAGCACCTTTAGGCGCCTTCTGTTTCGTTCAAAGGACGAAAGAGACATCTTGAAATTAAAATTATTTATATACAGAAAATATCTTCTTTTGCTGTATTTCAAACATGCCAATTTGATAACCAGTCCATAAACTACCAACTACCTTTCCTATATTCTACATTTTATAAAATGACAAGTAAACAAGAAACAAGTAATACATTAACTGACTGCACGGTTAGCGCGGTAGTTAGGCTAGGCAACTGGCTGCCGCGCAACGTGTCGCGGGTTCGATTCCTGAACAACTCTTTGTGCGATCCACAGATTGTTGTTCCGGGTCTGGATGTGATGTGTATGTGAACTTTTATGTTTGATAATGAACCCGCGACGCAGGAGAAAATCCTAGTGTGGGGCAACGTTTTAAAATAAAATGTAAAATTTCGAAAATAAAAATCGATCGAGAGATTTTGGATAAGGTTATGAAAATAAGACGACGAGCTCCATCGTAGACCGCATCATCGCACGACCAGGCGAGATAGTGGTCAAACGTCGCCGGCAATACATATAAAAAATGTATAAAAAAATCGACAGCAAGAGTGTGTACCAAATATCAGACCAATCTGTCGTCTGGAAGGGGTTGAAAGGAGATCTTTATTCTGAAAGAATTTGTAATTATGTTATGAATGGTCTTTATTCTTTCAATTACTAAATTTGAACCAAACAAACAAACGGTTGCCTCGTTTGTTTTGCTCAATAAAGCCGTTAAATAATAAAAATACTACATTGAGATATCGTATTGTATGAACTCAGAAATGAAAATTAGTTTGTTTTTTCAATAAATTGTTCCCTATTATACCGTGATTATCGTATTTCTCATCACCCTCTGTTTTACCCTTCAGAGAATAGAAGGTGCAACGTTAGTTAGCAAATTTTATTGAGACAATTTTTTTATAATCTTTTTTAATAAAAAATCATCGAATGACTTCTCCCGCCAGGGTGACGCGAGAGGGAGTGTCATACTCTTACGACTAAAAACCACCCCGTTCCTACTCCTGCCGATCGGAGCCGGGGCCCCGGTATCCCGTTAGGTTCTCCGCGGCATCCTCGAAGCGGTAGGCAGAGGTGCACATTATGCCACTGTACACTGTGTTACATACACCCACTTTTCACTATTTATGTTATGAGTCCCATGTAATAGGGGGTGAGACTATTACCATATACCGGGCACAATTCCAGACTCCGTGCCACTACTGAGATTTTTTTAAAAACCCATTATTATTTTGCCCAACCCGTGACTCGAACCCGAAACCCCTTGCCCGGCAGTCGGCTATCGGCCAACGAGGCAGTCATTTTCAAGATTTCACTTCACACACATACATATATAAATTCATACACTTTTAGTTAAATAAAAGTCTGTAAAAGAAATTTATGAAGAAAATATCCACAATATCTATTTTTGTTTAAATAAAAAATATTCTTGATTATTTTCATTTATTCGTCTGAATCTAGAGCTTCACGATCTACTCTCTGCCTTCAGGTCGGAGTGTGGGCTTATCTTTCTTCTTTTTGTGTTCTTCTATCTGCTGTTTCACCTTCTGCGCCAGAAGTCCTTCATCACACATCGGTTCCGGGTGAACGAAACCAGGCATTTGTATACTTTGCTTTTCTTCCCTACCTTTGTCACCCTGTGGGATGTTCGGATCATCTGAGAAATTTCTCTTAGATACTTTGAAAGGAACAAATTTCCCCTTCACAACTGTTAAACACTCTAGATGATCTACATTCGCGCCCCTCGGAGGTATTTTTGGATGCATCTGTGTAAAGAACTTCATCATCTTCATAATGGTCAAAGACCTAGATTCAGATCGAAGGATCATGTTTGGTAGACCCTGGAGATCTTTGTAAAGTCATTGTTACACTATATAGAGTAATCTAAAAATTCGATTAACATTTTGGCAGGCCAAATTGACGGATAGTGAAATGAAAGCATTGGCCACAGAGTACACACAAGGATTTATAAAAGGATAAATAGCACAGACTATTAATCTTAAAGCTGAAAAGAGTAGGGGCTACCGTTGGGTTTAATAGATGACGCTATTTTATATCAGAATCCATCAGAACGCAAGGAAAGCCATCGTAACACCCACAAAGATAGAAGATACTGGGCTAATAATTCAAAATTCTTTTATTTGTAACATACTAGTGTTGATCCAGTCGTAAAGCCATCGACTGTTGTGCTATCTTTCTCTATGGGATTGGTGTATAACAGATTGATCACAATGTACAAATAAAGAAAAAGGCAACAATGCAGTTATAATTACTATATTTATTTAAGACATTGAATCAAATCTAAACAATAACAACAAGATTTATATATCCATAATTTGTTAACATTAAAATGAAAAAAACTTACATATGAAACGCTACAAAAAATACTAAAAAATGTGATAAAAATAAATAAAAAACACTTGCTTTACCGCGGTATAAATTATTATAGACCTCATGTAGGTTTAGGTGGTTTCTCACTGAAGCCTATATCCTCTCCTCTTTTCAGTTTTTCCTTTAGTTTTTCAATTTGTTCTCTCTGTTGTTGATGGAAGTAGCCTTCTTCCTGCGCTGCTCCATACCTACCTAGACTACCACCCGATTCCCTCACTGAACCTCCTGCACCACCACCCTTGCCAGCACCTGAACCGGGAATCCCAGCAGGCATCGTAAAGTCGGTAGTAGAATCAGTGTAATTTTTAACGTTAAACCATATTGAACTGTTTTTCAAAGGGATCTTTCTCAACAACAAAGTGAACTGCTTCCTTGAGGGCCTACTGGCCGCCATGATCAGCGTACTCGACGACCTGCTCACTCAATATTTTTAAAGTCCAGTATCTTCCTAGTTTCTTACAAACTTTAACAATTTCTTTACCACTATTTCGTCGTCTTCATTTCAATTTTAAGACTCAATCGCAAGAATTGTTCGTTGAACAAAACCATTGGGTTTTACAAGGTAATTTTGTTTAATTTTGACGTTTTTGCTCTCTAACTTGTTTGACGTATCCAATGCCAGTGCCAGTTGTGTATGATACAGATGAGCAAAAAGGTTTTGTACCTCTTTGTAACCACAGGAGGTTGATACAAGTTGTTATTGCTATGTCGTGGGTTCAAGGACGTTAAAACAATGTCCTTGTGTGGGCTTAAACGCATCGTAAACTGCATGCCTATAAAAGCTCTCCTCTACTCTCTTCTAGACATAAATATTCTTAGATTTTGTTGAAAATGAACACAAAACGAGACCCGAAATTAATATTAAAAAGGAAAAAATGTCACAAATGTTTTAATTGACTCTAAAAAATCTCTAAAGTTAAAACTGTAACATATTAACTTCGCGATAAAATGAATTTGTTGCACTAAATTGCACATATGTATGCATGTTCCAAATTAACACTAATTTAGTACTAATTATTTTTCTCATATAAAAGTGTTGTACTTTATTACGTCTGTTTATTATTGGCATTCAGTGGGTAGCAGAGAAAATGTGATTGTTCTTGGAACGGTATTGACATTTTTCTTTACAATGGATATAATAAAGGTAATAAAATTACAATGTTTACCTTCTCTTTATAACTTCTATGTTAAATACATTTGCGAACTCACTTCCTCTTCCCTCGTTCATATGATCCGACTAAGTACTACTACAAAGAAATGAACTTGTACCTTATGAATTGCGATCTCTCCAACACACCTATCAACTGTAAAGTTCATGGCATATCCCTATTGCTGTGTCGCGGAGAACCTAACGGGTAATCGACGTGCAGGAGAAGGAACGGGGTGGTTTTTAGTCAGTAAGAGTCTGACACTCCCTACGTTACTGTAGTGATTTATCATGATGTTATTTTAGAAATTGCTTATGAGCTGCCTCATTAGAAGTGAGTGATGCAAAAAATGTGGCATAGCACGAAGCTTCAGAAAACTAACAGTATTTCCTTAATTTCAGATCTCACTTCTTCTTCTGTGTGCCGGTAATGTACTTTCAAGGTAAACCTTAAAACGTTCTTCAATCTCTTAATTATTTTTATCTTTACTCTCTTTATTTTTAAGTTAAGACCAATAGTCATTGCCCTAACTAATTTTGGTCCAGTACGTACGATTAACATCATAGACATGATCGAAATTATCTTTATTCAAAACAATTAAATTTTCAGCCCAAATAAATCTTCAAAACCATGGCAATACAACACCAGGAAGATGAACTCATTACTAGATCAGACACAACACTGTTTCTGCTACCCTGACGGTGACCTCCCAGTCGTTAACAAGCTATTGGACTCTGAAGATCACGGCCTGGAGCGTTTAGTCGTTTATCTCTACAAAGCTGTCAACTCCAACGAAATCAAGATGTATACTCCAAGTGCAGAAAAACAGATGCTTATACCTGACATACCTTACGATTCCAATGATGGACTTGTTACACTTACAAATGAAAACGTTGATATGTTGTTTTACGACAATCCCTACAAAATAAAAGTGTACAATGATCGTTTCGAAACTCTAAATCCAACTGTAGTAAGCTCCTTACCTATCGGACTACACCAAGGAGAGATAGAACACATATTGCCTGGTGCTAATGATGACACAAACTCGAATGACAAAGATAATAGCAATGGATACGATTACAATGCTTACGCGAATCCTCAATATAATGGTTATGATGACGCTGATCTGCCACAACCAGAAGCCTTACCCATAAAACCTTTGGACTTTGATTCAAACGGTTCTCCTGGCAACGATTTAGAGCCAAATCAAAACTGGGTCGACCAAAATACAAATCCAGAGGGCTTGGGGCCAGATCAAAACTGGGTTGACCCAGGTACAAATCCAGAGAGTTTAGGGCCAGGCCAAAACTGGGTCGTCCCGAATACAAATTCAGACGGTTTGGGGCCAGGTCAACACTGGGTGGTCCCGAATACAAATCCTGAGGGTTTGGGGCCAGATCAAAACTTGGTTGACCCAGGTACAAATCCAGAGAATTTAGGGCCAGGTCAAAATTGGGTTGTCCCAAATACAAATTCAGACGGTTTGGGGCCAGGCCAACACTGGGTAGTCCCAAATACAAATCCTGAGAGTTTGGGGCCAGATCAAAACTGGGTTAACCCAAGTACAAATCCAGATGGTTTGGATTCAGATCAAAACTGGGTTGTGCCAAATACAAATCCAGAGAGTTTAGGGCCAGATCAAAACTGGGTTGTCCCAAGTACAAACGTAGATGGTTTGGGGCCAGATCAACACTGGGTCATCCCAAATAAAAAACCAGAGAGTTTTGAAGAAATTTCAGCTGTTTTGAATGCAAATGATTTACAAGATCCATTATTGCCCGAATCACAAGCATTCCCGCTGGCACCCGATGATAAACTGCGCTCGCAAATCGTGTATTCCTTCCAGAACCTTGGAGATCTCGCAACGTCTCAGGCGGGAACCTTTGACGCATGGTTCAAGCAACAAATGAACAGATTCCAACATCCTCATTTTCCCGGTGATCTAAAGAATATAGACAGTAACTTGCTTAAAACGCTGGTTGTTAAGATCTTCTCCGAAAATAAAATATATATCAGTGCCAATGGCGTGATAACAGGACCAAATGGAGAAATAATAGACATAGCTAATTTAGAACTCCGTGCACTGTTGTTAGGCGAAAAGATCAATCTTGAAATCTTCAATAACAGCGACAAAAAAATTAGCCTATTAAAACGTTTGCCTTTCCTGGAAGGTATACTAGTCACACTGGTGTCGCCTCCACAAATATTAGGCATAATACCACTTGGTAAGATATATTTAACCAAAAGTTCAATTTATATGGACCAGATACTGGGGCAATTAAGTGCTGTGAATAGTTCAAAGGTTTACACCAGTAAATATACTGATGCAACCGTTTATTTGAATCCATCACAATCAACACTTAACCGTATTCTCTCCGAACCAGGAAAAGTAAAAGTTGAGTCGATATCTTCCATCTCAGGCGCTGGTAATATAGGAAATTGGGAAACAAATCTACACGCTCAAGCTGTTCCGCTTTCAAATAAAGAAACGCAACTATCAAGGTCGGGTCCATACTGGAACAGTGGACAATATTACTCAGCTCCAAATGTACCATACCCTAACTGGAATCCTTTGGTTGAAATCCAGCCTTTAGGTCAAAGAAGGAAGTCAAATGTAAAGATTGAACATCTTGTTGAACCGCCTCCAATCAAAACAAGAAAGAAGATAAACGATGACCCTAGTACACAAAAAGATACGAAAACAAAAGAAACAACTACAATTGCACCTCCAGCGAATGTGAATTCAACAGAACCTGCGAGAAGGTTCTCGGGACCCATTCTTCAAGGAATGTTGAAGACATTAATGTTACTCCTAAATGATACACCAATTAGAAGGCAGTATCAATCAAAACAGAATACTACGCAAAATTTTGATATAATCAGTGATTCTGAGTTGACGAAGTATGATGAGGATGGTCCAGATTTTAGAATCATTGGTGGTAGTGCTGCTACCGGTAGTGGAACCCCGGTCAGTAGTAAGGGCCGGAGTGGCTATAATGAAGAAATGGCGTCATAAAACTTAATGCACAAAGCATATAATTTTCATATTTTTTTAATGGTTAGATAAGTTAGGTTTAAGTGAATCCTTGAAGATAATGAAACGGCTTGTTAATGGAATTTTGATTATAAATTAATTATTAAATATATGGGTTTGGGTGGCATCATTACTCATGTCTTTTATTATTGACCAAAAAAGTATAAACACAAATCTATCTTTTCACTTACGACATCTATCAACATTACTTGAAACTAAACTCAATTTGCGAAATACACACGTTTGAAATAGTTAGCTAATTATCAAAAAGATGTCGCTTCATAATTTTTTTTAACACTGCCATCTACACCTTACACGCCGAACTGTTTAAAGTACTGTGGAACAAAAACGTGTTCCTATTACTCAAAAGATGGCGCTGTTAACAATACTTTGTATTCTCGACACCAGGTGGCAGTAATTTTTTAAAAACTTACAAATAAATATTTTGCGAACTCCTATAAAGTCAAAACAATTAAAGTAAGCTTAAAAATATAATATCTAACACATATATTCAGTGAAAGAAGCCTAAACATGGCGGTTGTGATTTGTTTACAATCCCCCGCATACACAACTCGTCGGTCAAGTTAACATTCAAGTCAAGTTAGTCGCGCTGCTCAGCCAGTAACCGCTAGTCAGTCAGGGAACACGAGTGCCATTGGGCGCGCTCTAAAAATATCTGCGGACTTCGGCATGTTAATAAAACGAACAAAATAACTTGACTTGTCAATGACAATAAGTATGAACGAAGATTGTAAAGTGCTTATCAGTTTTTGATACAATTTCGGCGACAGTTTGTAATAGACCGTTTATTTTGAAGTAAACTTGATATCGTAGTGAATTCGCGGTAATTTCCCCCGTGTCTTATTGTTTGTGAATGGAATCAATGTTGTTTATATAAAAGGATGTTATCATTACGGCACATGGTACTAAGAAACTGAATTTTCTAAATTTCATGGGATTTAAAAGCTGGTAAGTTTCGTTTGTTTATCTTTTTTTGTTGTCGTTGTGACTCTTAACAAAGTTGCAGTTAAGTTAGCTTTATGTCAGTAATGTTTGTGTTTGGGTTTTGAACTTGATAAATGTTTTTATTTAGTTAGGTACCTACCTAATGTAATAATGAGTATAAAGAGGGTAATTCCTTATGCTTCTATAAATTAATTACAAAAAAATCTACAAGTGTATCTGTTTGAATTAAATTCAAAGTTCGATTACCGACACTTTGCCTAATACATATTCACATAGACAGACATCTGTCTAAGTAGGTACCTATTTACATAAAACTTCGCAAAAATATTGTAATTACAAACACCTCGCATTTCATTACTTAAGGTGTGAATTAATTTTTTTACAATGTAACTTCACAAACGTGGGTAAGCCATATAAAACACCGGTTAAATAGGTACGTACTAAACATTCTGACAATGGATTCTATTTTTTTTTTAACTTTAACAATATTTACCTACATATCGAAACCTAAATCTTTACATAAATATTATAAGTAATGTAAATAAGGACTGCATCGTTGGACAAATGGTCGCAAGTGCGACTGCCGGGCACAAGGGGTCTCGGGTTCGATTTCCGGATCCGGCAAAATACTACTGAGTTGGTAAACAAAGTGTCAGTAGTAGCACGGAGTGTGGTAGTAAAAATACAATTAATAAATTCATAGTAAGAAGTACCTAAGATAAGATATAGACTGTAGATTTTTGAAGGTAAACAATATGGTACATTAAAAAAAAAATTCATTTACTTAATACTGTCTTAAACTATCGATTTATTACCATTCGTATACTTACGAAAAGATCAACAATTTAGTCTAATTTACTCATCAATTGCTCCAATTTGAATTAGTTCCGTGAATTAGTTCTCAAATCCTAATCCACGGACTAATTAACAATACAATTACGTAATTCCCAAATCAGCTACAGCCATCAAGACAAAGAAACCATGAAATTAAACAAAATACCATTGGCAATCGAAGTGGCACTAATAAACAGTAATATTTCACAATTTAAAAAAAAACGACACGATGGCATTGGACATCATCCATTGCCATCAGACCTTGTGTCGGCCGGTGAGACACCCTTGCAAAACAGTTATTGTACCGCTAAGTAAAGTTTTGCAACGTTTCTCTCGTCTCCATCATTCCGGTCAATGTGACCATATCTATTAAATTGCGACGACTTTATGGATAAAAACCATGTTTTAATTCAGTTCAGGGTCGTGATATATGCAAAATGGTAATTTAATTCAGTTAGAAGTGCTACATTCAATGAACCTTATAGAGTGCCGTTTAGGTATAGTACAAACTATGAGGCAGTATTACAAAGTTGAAGTAGGTACCGGAGGCCCATTTACCCTCCCCTTCCCCAATCTCTCCAATCCCTGAATCCCTAACGATCCTCAAACTCCTAATCCCCAAAAAGCCGGTGATGCACTTGTAACGCCTCTGGTGTTCCAGGTGTCCATGGGCCTGCGATTGCTTACCATCACCTGATGGTACCGGTTTATGCATTAAAAAATAATCCAAAATTGAGGACAATCGAGGTCATTTTTGGTTCATTATCTACGTAAAAGATATTCTTTAACACCTGATTTAAATCCATTGTGGTCCATTCATATCGATCCGATTGATAAGTTCAATCGGTAGGATCGCAACGTACAAAATTTCTCATGAAGTAAAAATATAACCAATAAGGTAACACAAAGGCCCCTACATCTTCTTAATTCAATTCAATGACGCAACTAATCTTATTGGAGCATAACTTTGACCTTACAATCTTTATTCAATAATGTCCAATGAACGAACCACTAAATTGCAATGACAATAAAACTAATTTCGCGATTACTAGGAAATCCATTGAAGGATTTCTACTAGGTATTGAAAACAGGTAATTTGCTTTACAATGAGTCACTGATTCAATTAGAATTCCATGAAGTATGTAATCTAGAGTTGTGAATAGTGGTGAATGGATCGGACAACATGATTCCAATGATGAAAATGTCAAAAATACAGTGATCAGACTAGCCGAGAAACAGGCATTATGAGTTCTGGATAAAAAGTATATAATTATAAAAATTGAGCCAACTATAGACTACAATAATAAGTCAAAATCATTTATTTCAATTAGAACAGGAAGGCACTATTGGAAATTGTCAATACAAAATAATGAGAGTCAAATTTTTTTTATAAGAGGGGAAAATCTTCGAATGACTTCTCTCGCCTGGGTGAGTGTCAGACTCTAACTGACTAAAAACCACCCCGTTCCTACAGGGCAGGGCCCTTCGAGCCGGAGCCCCAGCAACCCGTTAAGTCCTTCACGACCTCGGTCAGTCCTCTAGTGAAGCTATTTGCTCGCTTATTTCAAATCTAGATCTACCTAGATAAGATGTAGATAACACAGATGCTCACGTTTATGCTACTTACACAAGCAGTTAGTCCTGCAGCAGACTTCAATTTACTGATGATGATAATAACTAATTATACAAACGATAATCGTATCCAATACCTTCAGCTACACAATTCATCACCGACCAGCGCATCGAACACTGTCGAGTTCTATATAAAAAAGATCATTAACGAACTCAACACGTGTGAAGTTTTTTTCGGATAACTTCTTACAACTCAACATTCTCAAAATCTTTAAATATACAAACTTTTTTGTTCATAACCTTGTTAACACTTGAAATTTGAACATTTGAAGTGCCTTCGAGTAGTTTGTGCTTAGTCGAAAATAGAAAAAAGTTCAGTCTCTTGAACTTCAAAAATGTAAAAAGTTACGCTTCCCTGGGTTTGTTCTTGAGTATTATTTTCATTGTTACGGCTGATGATAATTTAAGTATAATAAAATTATAATAGATGATACTAGAATCTAGTTTATAATGATACATTTTAGATAAGTCCATATAAAGCAACAGATTACATTTTGGCGTCGCCCATGGACTGGACACCTTACATTACTTTATATATAGCTCATAGTTTTGTTTACCTTTTAGGAACTATAGTCGTGGTGATTGTCAGACTTGTTTCTGATTACCTAAGGTTATAGATTCAATTTAAAGCTCGGTTACCAATGAACTTCAGTTTCAAAATTCTTAGTCACAATTTATAATGGTGTTTGTGCATCCAGAACTCGTAAATACATCAACAACCTATAAATGCCCACTGCTGAACAAAGTCTCTTCTCACATGGAGAAGGTTTAAGCATTAATCGCCAGATTTCAAACTTATAATTAGAAATTATAAGCCCAGGTTTCTTCGTTCTCCGTTTGTCAGTGGTGTCTAAATAATCTTAGAAAGTACATGTAACTTGAAAAAAGACACATTGGTACTTGCCGTTGGTAGGTTTCGAACCCGCACCTTGAGAAGCGGGCGTCTTGAACCTCTGGGCCACCACGACACCTACCGTGAATACCCCAACGTCAATTCTTGACTGCCTTTAATTTTTTACGCAAGGTCCACCGGCCAACCGAAATATGTACCTACATAGATACTGCTGGACAAAGGCATTACATAGCCCAAATAGTTGGTTCTCAACTTGTAACTGCATTAACACAGAGACAAGATATTTTATCATACGCTAGAACAAGTTTATTTACATTGAACTCAGTATATGTATTACTTAATTTTGGCAATGGTAAAACATTACCTCACAACTTGTTTGACTAGGCTGTTGACAAACTGTATGCTTGAACTATGTATTATTTATTATTTGTAAGCTTCATGCACAAAATGTACATAAGGTGGACTTAATGCCGCAGGCATTTTCTCCCAGTCTGACCTTTGGGTGATGCAGAGAAGAGTTAATGGTGTGAGCAAGAAGCAAGCAACTATTTAATAGAGCAAATAAAATAGATATACTTACATATTTCAGGGATAAACATAAATAAACATAATTATAATTATAATATATGTATGTATGTAGTTTTGAACTGCGTTTGGTGCAGTGACTGGGTAATCGGTTCCTTTGAGAGATTTTAAG